ATATATATATATATATATATATACACACCCCCCATAAGTGATTAAAATAATCACATAAACACAATTAATAATCACTTACCAAACTCTTCAAAACCACCCAAGATTATATAAACGGGAACCCGTTATCACATTTTTTGCATTCATTTCATCTTTCTTAAAATTGAAATGGAGTTGTAAAATAATAATTTATTCAGAAAAATAATAAATGGATTTTGATTAAATGCAACTTTTTTCTTTGTTGTTTGAAAAGAAATATTTATTATTATTTTTATTATGTAATCTCGTGTAATGATACAAGATTGAGTTTTACAAATGACATAAATGACGAAATGACATAAACGAATAGAATATTAAGTTTTACAATTACGATAACTGGGAACAAGATTGAGCATGTTTTTCTTGTGAAGAACTATCCCGGGAGTTGTAATGGTGTCGACGTCCTCGCTCTTCATCCCATGAGGCAATTTCCAGTCAAAGGCGTAAAGAAGATTCGACAGTGCGAGTTCCATTGTGATAGATCCAAGTGACATTCCTGGACACCCTCTTCGACCTGACCCGAATGGGATCAATTCGAAGTCTGTCCCTTTATAATCAATATTACTACCTATAAACCTCTCGGGATGAAACTCTTCTGGATTGTCCCAATATTCAGGGTCTCGACCAATGGCCCATACGTTTACGTAAACCAAAGTCTTACTGGGAATCTTGTATCCGCTTAAAATACATGCATCTATTGTTTCTCGTGGGACCAAGAGGGGCGCTACTGGGCATAATCTAAGTGATTCTTTTATTACTGCTTTTAGATAAACGAAATTTTGTAGGTCTTCTTCATCGATCTTTCCTTTGTTTCCTACTGCATTTCTAACCTCTTGTTGAACCCTCTTTAAAGCTTTCGGATTCTTGATCAAAAAAGTCATCGCCCATACCACAGCTGATGCACTTGTCTCTGTACCTGCCAAGAAAATATCCTGCAAAAAACAACGTGGTGTACAAAATAAAGTGTCAATATTGAATTAATTCTATATCGTAATGTGTTCATTGGTTGAAACCCAATGAATTTATGTGGAATTGATCCATTGGATGTTGGATTTGCCAACCAATCATATCCAATCCAATGGATGATTGGATCAAAGAGTTCAATTCATCCGATATTGTCGCTTATCCATTGAATTTATCTAATTATTGGACGCTAGTTGATATTGTCGCTTATCCATTGAATTATTTAATTATTGGACGCTTGTTGGATTGATTCGATTTGGTTTTATTGCATTATAACCTTGTCATCCACAAACCAACCAATCTAATTTGAATATTGCATTTTTGGATCTGATTTGATTATAATTGGATATCCAATTATGTTCGGTCGATTTTAATTAAATTAGAAGATTTTTTGCATGCCCCTAATAAACACCTACCATGAGTATAGCTTTGATGTGATTGAAAGTGAGACCGAGGGAACAAGAGTCGTCGTTCTTGAGCTGAAGCAAGATGTCAACGATATCGTCTTGCACTTTGTTGGGCCTCTTGGGATTCAAATGCTCGTCGATAAGTTCTTGGTAGAACACATCCATGTCGTTGAAATTCTTCTCTAGCCTAGCCATGCTTCCGTTGAGATGATCAACCCACCCCATCAATGGAAAATGATCCCTAAAATAGAAGTTTGCCAACACCGCTTGACACTCCAAAAGCAGCTCATGAAATCGGCTCGTTTCTTGTCCAAGTATCTTACCGAAAGCCATCCTACAAATTATCCTACTTGTAAGAGCCATTACTGTCTCGTTCAGATTCACCACGACTTCCGACACAGAAGTGGCGATTCGAGATTTTATCTCGTTGATCGTGATGAAGATTTCTTCCTCACGATCATCACGAAATGAAAGCACCCTTCTCGTGGTAAATAGATGAAGGGTGCAAATTTTTCTCGTTTCTCGCCAATAATCATTATAAGGCGTCAAGATTAAACCCTTGTATCCATAAGTGATCTTCTGTTGGCCTGTGAAAACAGGCCTACTACAAAATATCGCATCATTTGTTTTCAAGACTTCCTTGGCCATCTGCGCCGAAGAAACAACAAGCGTTTGGACACGACCAAGACGTAGAAACATAAGCGGGCCATAGCGTTTTGATAGTTGCCAGAGATGGTTAGACGGGTGGGAGGTATCGAGCTGGTGCAAGTTTCCGATTATAGGAAGTCCAAGAGGACCTGGTGGGAGCCTTGACCTAGACTTTCTAAGTTTGAAAAGGATGAACGAGAGGAAAAGAGGGATGGCTGCTGATATAAAGAGTAGAAAGACAGCCATTGTTACATTGACATATAGACCATATGTTTCCACATTTATAGAGGAGTAATAGTGAACATTTTTTAATTATGTCACAATTAATATTTTGTTTCTAAAATTCTTTTTTCTTATTTTAGATTGTCCTCCCTCACACACACATATATAGGATATATTTCAAATGCAACTTTGTCCATTTGTACAACCCATTGCAACCCGATTAATTGAAATATTTATAGAAATGATGATAGTTCATTTATTATGATTTGAATATTTATGGAAGATTATCAGAGTTCATTAATTATGATCAATATTTTATATTAGGAAACAATAAAAAACTTTTATGAAATCACATAATCATCAAATATTATATATATATATATATATATATTGGATATTTAAAAACTACCCATGTTTTTTTATACTTGTTTATCTAAAACTTACTGATAAATACATTTAATACTTTCATTTAACTTATTGGATAATGTTTTGCTTCATTAAAATGACATCAGATGCAACTTTTTTATGCGATAAGAGCTTAGTGGGTAAAAGTAATTACTTTCACTTATGTGGTAAGACTCTCGGTCCTTGTCATGGTACTTACCAGGTAAATGTGTAGTAAACAACCCCTCACCTAAGTTGAGTACGTGAATGTTAAATATTTCTCTATATAATTTCTAAATTTGGAAGGTATGTCATAAGATGTTTTTTTTAGCGGTGGAACAAACTAGTGATGTTATGCATTGAAAAATTTATGTTAAATAATATTGATTTAAAAAAATCGTAATTGATTTTTCATCTAGAGATATTCCGAAAAATTATTTTGTATGAATTATTAACACTAGAAGCGTACTCGTGCAATGCAACGAAATATATTTTGACTTTAATGTTTCGATTTATTCCATTTATGTAGATGTTTTAATACGGTTTTTATATGGTTTTGAGACATGTATAATCTTTTTATTTTTGAATAAAATATAAATTTGAAGATATCATAAAATTTTGAAT